AGGTGGCCGAGAGATTAAGAAGAAAAAAAAAAAAAGAAGCTGAAGGACAGCTAGGAGACAAGACCTGCAGGGGATGCTGTATAAACTTGGACAAAGAAAAGACAAGAAAAAAACTTGGACTACAAGCCTTCAGCATGAAAGACCCCTAGAGACCCCCAGAGGGACCACCGGAGACTGATGCGCATGCTCCAGTGGGAGGGACTGGACCCTGGAAGCCAATTATAATAACCTATTTTTTTTAGAAGTAGTAATGAATATGTATTAGTCTAGGAGTATAAAAATCAGGTACTTGATGTGGCTGGTGTGCGTCCTGGTGGAGCGGAGACTACTGGTGCACCCAGTGCTGTTTGCTTACCTCTATTCTTTTAATAAATCCTATTTTTTTATTTAATCCTATTTTGAAGACTGATCCATTTCTAACAGGACTGACCATGTAGCTGAGAGTCAGGGGACTACTGGGGTCTGTGTCCCACAAGAAAAGATTTCAGCGACTCAAGCAAAAAGACTGAACTATTTCCTTATGCTAGGAAAAATAATTGTGTTGAGTCTTCTATATGGAATCTGTTATCTGTGCTGGAGGGCAGAGAAGGACAGCAGAAACAGCTATTCCATCTGCTTCTGCTACATCTTTTACAGAATAAACCTCCAAAGTTCTGAAGTTGTTCGTGAGGGTTCAAAAGAACTTTTTTCTTCCACTGAAGCATGACTTCACTTCCAAGTACCTCCACATTCATCCAATTCCTCTAAAGCTATTGAGGTGTAAATGGGCTGTAGGTGAGATATACAGCACTGAAATCTGTTCTGTACCTGCATGATGTATCCTTTGTGTGTCTATAGATGTGAACCCCGAACTGGGTAGCAGAAATAATTTTTCTTCCCTGTATGATCTTGGCAAGGAATTTGTATATATTCTGCCCTCCTGCATTGCATGTCTGGTATCCAAAGCCAATAAGGTCTGGGTGTCCTATCTGACAGGTTCCCTGCTATTGCAAAGAGCCAGCTAGTTGAAAGTTTGTTCTTCCTGACATAGGTAATTCATCCAGTTCTTCCCAGGCTGATGGCTGCAGTTGTTGATAAGCAGTAATCTGTCATGGGAAGACCATACAGTCACATACTGTGACGTGCAGGCTGCTTTGAAGTTGTTGCCTTGGAGTAGAATGGGGAAGAATTGGCTATATAATCCTGTGTGCTAGGGTTTCAAGTAGAAGAGAAAAACAAAAATTTTGCTTCTCATTGCCTCTCAATTTCTGCCTTTGCCATAGGGCCTCCTGAAAAGGCAGCTTAGTAGTATTGTGAAAAGTCTGATGGCAGTAAAGGAAAAATCTAAGAAACACTATAATCATGTGAGCACTTCTTAGTACATGCATAAAGTCCAGTTGCGCTCTACCCAGTAATGAAGGTTTTGTTCCCTTCTGCCTCCTTGAATGGCCCCACTTTCCTCAGTGCTCTACCTAGAGAGAAGCCTTCTTGCTCAGCCATCAGGGGATATAAAATCCTTTAGACACGCATGCAGGATAAGTGTTTTCTTTGGGAGACATGAAGAAGCACACGTGCCAAAAGCTTAGCATTTTCTCTCTAGCCATAATTACTTTTTCCAAAAAGAGGTACAATTTTTCCTTCCAATATTTCCTTTACCCTCCTAGGCCATTAGAGATACTATGATGTTGCCAATATTAAAGGGTCCAATTTTTTTTTAAGGTCATGAAGCAGGGCTGGATAAAGGAAGGGCTGTTAATAAGAACATACTGGAGCCATAACTAGCTTTTCAAAGGATTGAGTTCACAATGCAAGACTAAAAAGTCACCAGATTAAACGATGCCTGCTTCATGACCTTACAGAAAACCCACATCATTCTCTCTAGAGTTATGTACCATGTATAGCAATGTAGCAAGCTACCACCAAAGTAACTGATGAGGGAAAACAATCAGGACAATGACGATTACCCTGCTAACAATGTGGCACAGACCTAGGTATAACCCTACTGGTAGATGGACAGTGAAGCTTGCCTTTGGATTCAGGTAAATGCAGCAAGGTTAGGGACTGGTGTTCTGGCTCTCAGGTCAAGAGACCCACACTGGCTGCATCCACATTAAGCAATGTGCTGAGTAGAACAAATCATTTTTTGGTGTTTCTTTCACTTGTAAGTCTCTAAAATAATCACAGAATCACAGAATCACAGAATTTCTAGGTTGGAAGAGACCTCAAGATCATCGAGTCCAACCTCTGACCTAACGCTAACAGTCCCCACTAAACCATATCCCTAAGCTCTACATCTAAACGTCTTTTAAAGACTTCCAGGGATGGTGACTCCATCACTTCCCTGGGCAGCCTGTTCCAATGCCTAACAACCCTTTCGGTAAAGAAGTTCTTCCTGAGATCCAACCTAAAACTCCCCTGGCGCAACTTAAGCCCATTCCCCCTCGTCCTGTCACCAGACACGTGGGAGAATAGACCAACCCCCACCTCTCTACAGCCTCCTTTAAGGTATCTGTAAAGAGCAATAAGGTCACCCCTGAGCCTCCTTTTCTCCAGGCTGAACAAGCCCAGCTCCCTCAGCTGCTCCTCGTAGGACTTGTTCTCCAGGCCCCTCACCAGCTTCGTCACCTTTCTCTGGACCCGCTCAAGCACCTCGATGTCCTTCTTGTAGCGAGGGGCCCAAAACTGAACACAGTACTCGAGGTGCGGCCTCACCAGAGCCGAGTACAGGGGGACAATCACCTCCCTAGCCCTGCTGGTCACACTGTTTCTTATGCAAGCCAGGATGCTGTTGGCCTTCTTGGCCACCTGAGCACACGGCTGGCTCATATTCAGCCGACTGTCCACCATCACTCCCAGGTCCTTCTCTGCCTGGCAGCTCTCCAACCACTCATCTCCCAGCCTGTAGCTCTGCTTGGGGTTATTGCAATGTGAGAGCTCTGCTGCAGCCTATCACATTGGTGTGCTTTTACAGCATGAAATGAAAACCATGTGCTGCATACCCTAAGGAGGGTACTTTAAGCATACATGGGTCAGGTACATTGTGGTGGCACAAAAGCACATGGTATTACTCAAGGGCAGTGGAGGGTGGAAGGAGCCAAACCTGTTGCAGGTGCCTCTCCCATGGTTTTTGAGGGTACTCCTGACATACTCTCACCTGCAAGGTGTACAGGTGCTGTCTCTGAGTGCTGGTTGAAACACATCTAGATCAAACTACCCATCTCCTCAAATGCCAGTGCTTCAGCCCAAAGTAACAACACTGCAACTTGCTGGTAGAGCTGCATTATAATTCTTTTTTTTTTTTTTTTTTTTTTCAGGTCCACTGTCTCAAAGAACGTTTCTAACTCTGAAATAAATCCACCTCTTCTTTCCTGTTACCACTTCATGAACATTTCAAGGAGGCAGTCCATGTCGAAACAATCAACAAAAATACCCACGACACAGCCTCTCTCCTGAGACAGAAAATTCTTAACATAAAATGAACCAGTGATTATGTCTGAGGCAGAGCTATGCTAAGCCTTGCCTGTGAGTCATCAATTAGGTAGATGCTCAGGAATTCGAGGGAGACACTGCACTCATTCTACCTTGTTCTCATTCTGCAGTGTGCAGCAATGCCTTCCTCAGCAGATCCCAGAAAAAGTGTGCAGCTGAATCCTACTCTTTCTCCACAATAATCTTTGCTGCTCATCAAAAGCTGCAAGCAAGGAAGCCCTTTCATAACAGTGGTAGTGGCTTTATCCCTCCCTGAGGGGATTTGGCTTCTTACAAGAAGAATACAAGATTTTGGCTATACAATTGGCATCTTTAGCATTTGGACTAACTCCCCTAGACTCTTTCTTTGATTCCATCACAAAGTTACTAACCATTACCTGTTTCAAGTGAGAATACACTCGCTCTGCCAATTTGACATGTTAATAAAAGACAATTCTCCAAAGACCTAGATTTTATCTTCAAAGGAATCATCCGAACATCACAAAAAAGTGTAGCAAGAAAGAACTACACAACTCCAGCTTGCTGGGTTTTTCCTTCTTTGACCGGAACACGTATAAAAAATCATTATGTAATGACAACTTATATTGAAAGAAAGGCCTCTAGAAATCTTATTATTTACCTTCAAATAAAACTTGCAAATTGCTAAACTCATCATTGGAAGTAAATGCTGAAGATTTAGTGCCACATCAACAAATACAAAATATACATCTCCACCACTCCAGATTGCATACCCAGTTTCCCCCAGCAAAACGGTAAAAATTTTTGGACTCCACAAACGTGCATCCCAGCACCCTGATGGATACTGCAGGAATGACACCAGTCTGCCACTATTCTGCATAATGAACTTCAACAGTGTAATGATAGAAGGTAGAAACAACCAATTACCATCACATTTTACAAATACTAGGACATCACCATCTTTTTGACTTTGTACTCACAATGCTTAAGGGAAGTTGACAAGACACTTCCAGATGAAAATTACTAAATATTAAAACACTCCCACAAACTGACTGGAAATGCAAGATTCTATCCCCTACTCTCTGCTAACTGTACAAAGGTGCCAACTGCTTGTATCTCCTCCACAAGGTTTAGTCATCTAATCCTTCCCAACGTGCCCCATAGCCCCAGCCCCCTCCAGGCTTTCCTGGTGCTAATTACACTTTTAAATTGGACAAGTGAATGAGATAAAACATCAATTCTTAGGTTTGTTTCTTCGGTTTTGGATCTGAAGCATAGCTCATGTGACACAAAATCTTATCTATTTTTTCCAGTTGGTCCAGGTAGACATTTTGAATTTGGCAGGTTTTTGCAGTAGCTCCCTCAGGCAAATTAGCCACCCTTTCCCTGCATCAGTGATGACTAAAGGGACAGAAAGATGCAGCAGAATGGGAAGGTGTGTAAGTATAGAGACAGGGATTGTATGTGCTGTTTTGCCACTTGTTCCTGGTTGTCTGATTTTGTCTACATACCTCAGTTCTCTGCGAATCCAAGGGGGCCTGCAGATCCCTCACCAGTGGCCACCTGCACTGCAAAGTGGAGATGGACAGTGTGGATTTTTAACAGTCAGCTGGGCTCCTTACTGGCAAAATCCCTGACAGTCTAAGGTTAAGGAATTTGGACCTATTTTTGAAATGCAAGTCTTTTACTTCTGTAGGAGTTGTAATATCTTGCCGTAGTACTCTTGGACTAGAAGGAGCTGTTTCATTAAGTAAGGGGGTCGAGACTGCAGAGAAAATGGAGATTTTTTTCTTCTTCCACAAGCCTATATCAGCCTGTACTTAGAGTATTCAAAACCTGTATCTAGTGATTACAATGCATCCCACTTCATGAAATTAGCACAAGTGCCTCTTGTACTACTCAAGGCTGAGCTCATGGAAGAATTAAATTGCCTCTTATATGTAAGAAGGTTGATGCTTGCAGATAAGAACTAGGATTATTGGTAGAGAGGTCTAAGTTTGAATTGTGTCAGTTTGCGCAGCACACCAGTCTGCAATGAACAGAAATCTCTAGCTCCTAGATTGTTTCACATTCCCTTGACCTTTTCACATGCAAATATTCCCCAGGACACTAAGGACGAAAAGCTATGAATCAGCAAAAATTGCAGAGCTGAGCACTAGTATCAACTTGATGCTGTGCTTTACATAACAAGGCACACTCAAAAATAATGCTATGTTCTGTTGCCCAATTACAGAAAACACTATATAGTACTTTTGCACACCTCATTAACACCTCAAGTGCTCAGCTCTTAAGAAGTGCATTAAGATGGTGCATCTATTACTGGAACAAAGTCACTTACATGATTCATAATGCTGAGGAGAGATATCAGTTGCTAAAAGAATAGCCAATAACAGGAGTTCCTTAATAGCATTAGAGTTCAGCTAAGCAACAGTAAACGAGCATGTAGGTATTACAGGAACCTTGAAAGCAATGTCTGAGCAAGGGTCATATCAAGGGTCTTTCCTTTAATCTTGCTTTTCTGTAGTGTTTTGAGGTAATATGGGATGAAATGTACCTGCTTATGAAATACGCTACAAGCTAGAATATGGATTATAGCCCAAGAATAGTTACAGAGGGCTAATTCCTTCAGTGGTAAAAATCAGCATTGTTCTGTATCTGTCATTAGTTCAGTGGGCTCTTCAGACTTCTGAAGGATTGGTCACTTCATTTAGTTGTCAGCTAAAGTTGATCCTCAATTTTAGGCACTTGGATTTGAAAAATGCAATCTAGAAAAGGTTATACACTGGATAAGGCAGAAAGGAGGGAAACTAACACCCTCCTTACTGTCTTTTCCTGCACATAAACTGGCAGCAAAAGGATGTCACAAGGATGACTGGAGAATGACATGTACTGGAAGTTCCCCAAACCCTCACACTTGTGGGGTTAAAAAAAATCAGCAAGCTGTAAAGTAAAACAGAACACAAATTATTTAGTTTATTCAGAAGTATACCAACCGTCCTTGCAAAATAGCAGGACCAAAGCTTTTGTTCAATATTGTAGTAAATTCATTGCAATAAATTCAAATTACAGAATTAGAGGCTATTTTACACAGGAAAATGTTATTTTAAAGATTATATGGAAAATACTTTGCTGATTGTTGTTCCAAAGCTCATTAATACTTTTACCGTTCACTAAAATGACACAAATGTAGTGTTTTGTTTGTCCAAAACTTATGCCTTGGAAAAAAAAAAAAAAAGTGATTTTATGTAGTTTTATTCTGGCACCAAAAATTACACACTCACCATTGTCAATCTTTTTCACTGCAAATTAGGGAAAAAAAAGAGTAAAACATATATTTGTGAATGAGGAGTGGAGGACAAAAGACTTTTAAATATTTCATTGTAGGCAGAGTTTCATTTACACAGTAGATTTTCTTACATCTAAAGAATTTCATGGTTAAGGTATGTCTGAGACTGTTGTTTAGCACTGGCTTTTGTTAGAAGCGGCACTAAAGATTGGCATTACTTTTGGAAATTTTACTTATACTCACCATATGGAGAAAGCATATCAGATACTTCAGAACAACATAATTATGTTCAGGAAGTCCATGAATGATCTGTTTACATCTCGTTACTCGTAAACTGCTCTCCACACCTGCAATATCAAAGTCAGTCTTAATTTAACTCGAAAACATCAAAATATTACCAAGAACTAGCACCTTATTTATATCATCTGGAATTACTTATTTACATCTGTAAAACTGACCACAGAAATCAGCCCTATTAACTTCTACCACCACTGTAACAGTTTGGGCTATCTCTTTGTATAAGCTGATCATATTCAGTATTTATCTGGCTAAGACTAACTTCCAGAGTATTTTCTCCATTCAGTGAAAGAGACAAAATAATTTCTTTGCTAGAAAATTCCTTTGCAAGGTCTTGTTTTGAATCCCATTATCTCCCCATGCATTGAATCCAGATGTCTACCTTTCATGCCTTGATTTTATTCTTGCGGCTCAAAGTGCTCTTTTGGCACTCTACTAATTTCAAACACACTTCTGTGATTCTGCAGGAAACTTTTCAGTCTTGGACAAGGATTTATGAGGCAGCCACTTGAATGGGTAAGAACTTCGTAGAGATAAGCTTAAGCAGGTTCATTAACTCATTTCTATAGATGGGCAAATCTGCAACTAGACCCCAAACTCACTTAGACAGTCTGGGTAAGAATTATGTTAACATTAGAATGCATTTTGAATGCTATTCCAAGAGACATTTTTTTTTATTATTTTTTTTCCCCCTGCAATATTGTAATTATCTTAGTACTGGAAGTTTAACATCAATTTGGAGAAAGGTCTGACTGTTACAATCATGCCTGACCTAACTGGCTGATTTGTGCTGATGTTTTTTCTCCATTTGTTCAATTTTTCTTTCTCTCCCTGACATTGCTAGAGATGCACAGAAGAATCTATGCATGCACAAAATTCCAGCATGTTAAATGTTCCCTTAAGCTCTGATTTAAATACATGAAGCTGTACCCTGGTGAGCTGTGTTGATATTTTTACTACTGCAAAGCTATTACTAGTAGCTTTAGTAGCTTTTTTTTTTTTTTTTTTGCTAGTAGCTAGTACCTTTTACTACTGCAAAGCTAGCCTGTAAGACACAAAAATCTGAGTCACAAGAATTTTCTTGTCAGCCTTCTGCAGAGTAAATAATTCAGGAAGTATAGCAACACCAGGCAAAGGAACTTGAGTAGTTTTCATGACCAAACAAGAAGTTCTTTGAAAATGTCAAGCTTCAAGTTTCTATTATTTTATTTTATTTTATTTTATTTTATTTTATTTTATTTTGCCAGTCACTTGGCTAATTTATTTCTCAGCTCCTGTCAATAAATCTAGTAAAAAATATTTCAGATGAGACACTAAAGAGAAAAGCTTCGCTATTATTTCAAAGTATTGTAAAGTAGGCATAGTGTTTTTCTGGGTTTGCAGGTTAAGAGATGTAATAGATACATCACACAGTGCTCTGGTGTTTTCCAGAAGCCAGAATGAGAATTTTCAAATCATCCCAAGACAGCTGTCTGTGATCAGACCTCTTCAAAGCTCCCTTCTGCACTGTATTCACAGAGAATATGCCTTTGCTGCAGTCCAGCTTGGCTCCCAGGCTTAACATCTTTAAAAAGCAGGATATCACCATAGCATCAAGAAAAGATAGTGGACATCACACTGCATAACAAAAAAGCTCAAGGAGAAATTATCTTAAACTCCATATTTCAACATATGCTGTCAACATCTAAAACACCAATAAACAAAAATAACATTGACTTAGACCTTCACAGATGCTTTGCCATGAAAAAAAAACCTTTAGTATTCCTAGGACAATGCATTGCTCTCAGACTTCAGATTTGTTCTTTTTTTTTTTTTTTCACTTAACTCTAGCACAGAGTAACATCATGCCCAGAAAGTCAGCAGACTAATTCAGTAAAAACTAGCAATCAATTTGAAATTCCCTTATTCTTTACTCTATTCTGAATGACTATCCTTACTTCCTTAATTTTTACAACTGCCTTGTGAAAAGACTTATTTCTCTTAACACCCTGAGATATTTATTGTGTAGACGTATGAATCCTTGATTTTAGTCTTGCAAATAAAAAACAGTATGGAACTTCAAAGGATTCTGAACACGATTATCTTGATTATTTTTAATGGAAATACATCAATAATGTTAGTGATATTAAATAATACATGCAGATGCCAGTGATGGGCACAGTATAAGAATTTTACGTAGAATGAAGTGTTATCTAGGTACACTAAACTTTCTGTACTGTTATTTGAATAGTAGCAAAACATAGAAACCTCAGAAGGAGTCTTCACTACACTTTACCAACATGGTGCAGTTGAGATTTATGCCCAGCCCTAATTATTTTATTCAGCTACCCAACAGCAATGGACATGATAACAATGATAACCTTCACTTTGCAACAGCATCATCCAGTGGTTACCAGAGGTATGTTACCAGACTCAGTTGGAAACTCTACTCCATTAAGATCTAATTTCCTCAAAAAACAGGTGTTGGAAAAATGTGTGCTTGTGACTTGTCACTGGAAGCCCCACTGGTTCTCTGCTAAATTGACAAGAGCCGCAATGGCAAAATACCAGTTTGAACAAGTACACCTTATAATAAATCTCGGATTTCAACTTCTGTTATTAGGGGGTTGCCTTGCTAACATTATAAACTTTCACTCCCTGACAAAGGCCACACAATTAAAGTTCTATAATTCATACATGTATATTTATGTGGTATCAGATCTTTAGATAATCAGTGCCTTCTATTCTCATGGTTTTAGATCCTTGGTTCCCTAATATGTTACTGTCCTGGTTTCAGCTAGGATAGAGTTGATTTTCCCCCTAGTAGCAGGTATGGTGCTGAGTTTGGGATTTAGGATGAGAATAATGTTGATAACACACTGTTTTAATTGTTGCAGAGCAATGCTTACACTAAGCCAACGACTTTTCAGCTTCTCGCTCTATCCTGCCAGCGGGCAGGCTGGAGGTGCAGTGGGAGCTGGGAGAGGACAGACCCAGGACAGCTGACCCAAACTGTCTAAAGAGGTATTCCATACCATCTGGCGTCATGCTAAACAATATATAGGGGTGGCTAGCTGGGGTGGGGGGACTGGCTGCTCAGGGATAGGCTGGGCATCAGTCAGCAGGTGGTGAGCAATTGCATTGTGCATCACTTGTTTGTACTCATTAATAGTAGCAGTACTATTATCATTATTGTTATTATTTTCCTTTCTTTTCTGTCCTAATAAACTGTCTCTATCTCAACCCCACAGGCCTTCATCTCTTTCTAATTCTCTCCCTCATCCTAGAGAGGGAGGGGGGAGGGTTAGTGAACAGCAGTGTGGTGCTTAGCTGCTGGGCTTAAACCACAGCAGTTACCCAGATAACAGTTCCAATACAAAAGATGTTCCTGTCCCTCTCCTCACCCAAGAACAACTGTAATAAAAGATAAAATAAGCATACAAATGACCACCTATTTTTTTTTCTATGATCATTTCCTATGATTCTACAGTTTGGAAAAAGGACTTTCCAATTTACTGTAAGGTTCAAAGTTCTATCCCACAAAGGCCATAAGAAAAGGAATTTCGAAATGAAAGCATTTTTGTGTGTGTAAAAGCAGATTTTTATTCTTCCAGACTGCCAGTAAGGAGGAAGCATTGAAAAAAAAAGGGGGGGGACATGGAGAAGAGTGTCTAAAGTACTGATTTTTCAGGCTGCTTTTCTGCAGAGACTGGACTTCTGGTGTGCTATCTGCCATCCATCTTCTGGTTCCCACCAACATTTAAACTGTAGGCACAATTAGATTAGATTTGATAGAGATGTAGATCAATGTCAATGTATATATGCCTACACATTTTGTGGAATTAGGCAACCAGGTAAAGAAGATGGACCCTAAAGTTGTCCCTGCTTTGAAAACATGCTACCGTGTGATATCAATTCTCACTAGGCATTAGAGGAGACAAAAGAAAGCTCATGTTTGTGATGCAAATCCACAGGAAAACATGCTTCCTTAGCTCTGCTAGTCACAGGACTAGCTGTTCTTAGAGTCCTCTGTATGCACAAACAGTGAAAAAGATTGAGAGTGGACACTGGTATCAGGAAATGTAAATACAGGGAACACAAGAAGAATTATAAAGATGATTAACAGCCTATTTACCATACTTACAGCAGAGTCTCTAATGTCTACAAAACATTATCTAACAATATAATGTGTTTGTACTTTTGTATTGAAGGTTAAGCCAAACTCCAAAAAGAACAGTAGTGATGGTAGAGAAATTTGTACCTCATATGTCCCAGTAAGGAGCTACATGTCAGTCTTCTGAACAGCCCATGATACTCAACAAAGCAAAAGAGCTTCTGATTCCCATGTTTTAAGCTTCTGACAAGGAAATTACACCACTGTCCTCTTCTGGGTGGAATCCCACCTTGTGCTGGTACAGATTATGAGGTTGCCCGTTAATGGCTGCAGTGAAAGCACTAATAGTTTTATGTACCTACAACTAAGTCATGGTTAGCAAACAATGGTGATTAAGAATTAGCCTGGTCCGGTTCAAATTGCTGTATGAATTTTTCTAAAACTGAGTTAATACTCACTGGTGATTCCAAGGATATGATCATAACATTCAAAGGTTAGTAATGGCTGAGGGAGTTCCCTAAGGAAAGTCTTTAAGATAACAGCAGGAATATGGATATCGTGATAGTAATCGAAATTCACAGACTTGCCTAAAAGAAAGAAAGAAAAAAAAAAGAAAATGGTGTTCAATCATATGTTTTACTTATTCTTTAAACCACCATTTAAAACCTGTTTCACACCACAGTTAGAAGAGAAAACCTCCTGTCTTTCCTGCTTCTGGCAACTCCTAGCATTTTCTTTTAATATTTTTCATGGAGTTTTATTCATCTTGCTGTAAGAGATTCTCCCCATTAAGGCATTTCATAAAATTACTTTACAGGGAAGTCAATGACTTGCAAAATGACTTCAATGTATTTCATAAACTATTGTGTAAAATTACATTTTGGTGCCATAGTCAGGGAAAAACACCAAAGGCAAAATGGCACAAAGACACTGTACTTGGCATTTTTAACTAACTCTGGTAACTCAAACTACACAGAGGTAATATGGGTGTTTATAATAAAACAGACCATTTTTGACTCAAACTTTATCACTCATTAGCTGCTACGGTTTTCAGAAGCTTTGGTCTGACATCAGTTGATGACTGATGCTGAGTTGCTGTTCAGCAAGCTTTAAGTGCCTATTGCTATTTTTCAAGCTTCTGTACTAGTGCTCTTATTATGATATTTTAGTTTACAAATGACTTCATGATTAACTAATTATAAAAAAACTAGCATCTCTGCTTCACCAACAGAAACAAGATCAATAAGCCCTCACACTATTATTAATCTGTGGCAGTGGTTATGGCAGCTTACCCTGATTGTAGAGTTTCTGAACATCTTTGATAGTCTGGACACTGGCTGACCTTCTGAAGAGGCCCTCTACTTGTAGTCCTGAAAAACAGTTAATGTTCCATCTGTAAAAGCCATCACTCTCTTGTTTTTCCACATAGGTTCAGTTGAAGATAGAACAGAGGGAGAAGGTTTGGGAACAAATCCACTTGATACACTCAAGGTGGTAATAAAGTCTTTCAAATCAAATATTTTTGGGAGAATCAAATAATGTTGTAGCAGTGCTGATATCACTTTCTTTAACGTGTCTCACAGAAATACTACTGCCTTTCCTTAAGTTTTTTAATGTGTTGTACCAACTGTATTTTTTTCTTTAAAAGTAGCTTTCAATTGTGCCTCATGACAAGAAGCTACATATTTACATTCACCAGGCTGCTTATGACCTCACCCTCACTAAGTGTATCTGCAAACTGAGCCCCAAACCATGCCTGTAATCTCCTATTCTACTTTTAAATGCCTTAAAGCCTTTAGCAAGCTAAAGAGAGTATTTACAAAGATTCCCTAAGCTCCCTCCTCTGTTAGTGGGAGAGACGAGATCCTTTAGGCTGAGGAATTTTTTATAGCATCTTTGGATGTAGGAGCCTATATCTTACCACTGGAGGGACATTAGCCTCCCCAGCTTCAAGGCAGGTTTGTGCAGACCACTGCTCTTTCCATCTCTCTCTGAAAGTCAGTTGGATTTAAGACTCTGCCTGCCCATGGTATTTCGAAATACCTGATTCTAGTCTTGAGGCACTGCTGAAATACGTATCATAAATTTCAGGAAGGGTACCTATCTAGTTTCATTTCATGACTTTGACTAACTGAAATCTGTTTTCAGCTACAGAGGAAAAACTTCATACAGTCAAGGATCTAAGTAGGATCTAAGTAGAATCTAAGGACAACAGCTTTCAAGGTAAGTTATTTATCTGAATTATTATGCAAAATGGGATTTGGACAAGAAGTGTTACTTTTATTGAGACTTGCAGTACTTCCTGCTTTTGAGTTTGGTAAAATCATTGTTTCCCTCTCTTTTTCCCTCTCTGGTTTGTGCTGTTCCTTCCACCCAGCAGGTAATGCAATTTGGCTCACACATAGTCTAACTTTGAGATACCTACTGGAATCACAGCTATGCAAAATATTAGACTACCATTGCCTGACAAAACATAAAATTGCAGGCATTTTGAGAAGGGCGGCAGACTACCCACTGACTTCAAGGGGTTGCTGTGTTTTTTTTTACATGAATGTGTGACAACATATGATTGAACTTTTATTTTCTTTATAATCTTGCAGAAGCTAAGTAGCCAGGCTGAAAGCAATGCTTGTGTATCTCAACTGAAGTATGTGCATATCTATTTGAATGATCAAGAACTGTTATGCTATTCTAAAAATATTGAGTCATATACTAGTGAAAGATATTGCCATTCTTGTAAATTCACCCAGGTCACATGCAAGAGAACTTTTTTTACTTGAAAAACTAATAAATACAATATTCCTTAATCAACCCATTCCTTACAGAATACCATTTAGTATCGGTCATATGAATTTAAAACAATATACTAAAAGGATAGATAGTGTAATATTGAAGTAAATTTTCAAAGACAAGTCTCAGAGGCTTTTGCAAAGAAACACAAGCTCTACTTAAAAGCTCCCCATTCACAAGATTTAGAGGCTTAGATGGAGTTTAGCTGAATATGGCCCCTTGTTTTTCATTTTTTTTTGTTTGTTTTGTTTTTCTGAACACTTACACTCTCTTTTTAAGTCCTAGGTTAAATATTAAAACTTTAGCTCATGCCTTCAAATCTGGAAGGAGTATGAAATCTCAGACTATACTATCTGAGAAGAACATGTGTGTGTTTACTAAAGGAACCCAATAGAATGTAATTACGATCTATTTGAAGGCTTGTTTATTCCCAACTACATCATATTTCAATTGGATAAAGTTACTGCAAATGACATCACTGTACTAAAACTGTTGCTTTGGATTTATAGTGCAACTTGTCTAAAGGCATGGCTTTGGAAATGCAGGTCTTACCAGCTAGCTTGTCAAAGCATTGCCCTCAGCAAACAACAAATGCAATAATTTTCTGAAAATTTGTAGAATTTTATGCTGGCTGTCAGAGGTTTTCCATAGAAATACATTTCAGAAGATGGACATCATAAATGCTTACAATTTGCTTTGCAGGAATTCCCTGAATAGTTAATGCTTTAATCTGATGTGAAACTCACTGTATAAACTACAGTGTAATAAATATCCATTTTTAACATGTTTATTCCTTTATTGGCTGTGCTTTCAAGAGTCTAATTAAAGACGTTAATCTGTAGTGCAGACAGCAGCTGTACTTGTCTGGCCCTGCATCCCATCAGTAATGTAATGGCACATAACACCAAGCTCTTTCTGGATATGTTGTTTGGACGTCTTAAGGGGGAAAAAGCATCTTTCCTCCTCATCTGCAGAAATGGGGAATATGGGTGAAAACTGTGTTACTTCTAGAATTACTTTTCTTGGACAGCTAAAACTGAATAAATATACAGTAATTTCTTTGATCAATAGTGGCAACAAGCCAAATACCAATGCATGTATCTCCATTTCTTACATTTGTGGACAGCCACATGTACAACTTAGTCAAATGACATGACTAATTAAATGCAGATTAATGCAACAATTCTTAGGAATAAAGAAAAAGATAAACTCTTTCTAAATTAAAAGAACTGCAACTGCATAATAGCTGTGCTTTTTTTTTTTTCATTAAAAATGCTCAGAACAGAAAATAATATACTACAGGGATTTTTAAACAAATCATGGATCATAACTTCAGCCCACTGGTAAACAGATTTGAGTCAGCAGCAGTTATGCTATTGAATGTAGAAAATGATGAGCCTGGGCACAAAGACAGACCTTCCGTTCCACATTTTTCTGACTTGATACATATGAACTGAGCGGGATCCTTCACTAAGAAGTTTGCAGGCTTAGTATTTGCTCTCAGTGCTTTCTGTGTTTCAGATGGGCCTGGCATAATAAGAGTAAGGGAAAGCTACCTAAATCATTTGAATGATGGTGCTACATGGAATTTGCCATGTCACATAGCCTGAACAGCATTAGCATATGCCCCTAGCTGGAGTCTCATAATAAGGGACAGGAAAGGGAAAAAGGACCTGATGCCTCTTGTTGGTTATTCCACTGGAAAGGGTAAATCATACAGCCTTACACACAACCAGGAAATATATTTGCCAAGCCTGGCTCTTCCCTTTCAGTCACTAGAGGAAAAAAAAAAAAAAAAAAAGAGAGAGAGAGAGAGCGAGAGAGAAACAGTTCTTGGAACTACCATAATTAAGCAACATTTAGCACTAGGTGTCCCCACTGAAGTGAAATTAATCACATTGGTTTTGGAGACAACATACATGCCAGAGCTACCAGAGTTACGAGATGAGGAAACAAAATTGGTTGCAGACAATCCTGGTCATTGCACCTGAAAATACCAAAATACTCATTTTTGCTCTTTCAAGAATATATTTTGATGTAGCCTATTTACTTTTTTGTTAGCAGTGTTCTCCAATCAAGTTCTGTTTACAGCACGATTTATGTCAGCTATCTCTTTAAACAGAAAAAAAAATATATACAGAGAGAGGTGTACAAGTTGAACTATTTTGCCATTATAGGCATGGGTATCCCAGTCCATAGAAAATACAAAAATTAGACTAATGGTGCTCACCAGACCACTACAAGGCACTGACTGGCATTAACAGCTAGTCTTTGCTTTCCAGTACTGATTAACACACAGCTGCATGTCACTCAGCTATCCTGTCAACACTGCAGATCCTCTGTTGAGATAAGTAAGCACAAACTGCTCCCTGCTCCTTACACACACACAAAAAGACAGAAAAATAGATGGATAGATACATGGATAGACACAGAGATCTGCGGAATTTTGCTACTGTGACCTAAGCTCTCTGGACCAAAGAGAGCTAAAGTTTATTTTAAATATTAAATGCTATACAGAAAACCATAGTGATATGACCAGAGAAAAAGCCATCTGTATCCAATGAAGAGTAATTCTGAGACTGAGAATTTAACTGAGTAATTATTTAAATGTCAGTAATCATAAATGAAAACAGACAGGCTTTTCATTCCACACTGAAATAAGATGTGTTTTACCATAGTAGACAAAATTTTACACTGCAATGACACAATTGTGTCACACTGTGAATTAATAAATTGTTGCTAAAAATACTTAACCCCCTTCTGCCTCCCTGATCAGTTGTCCCAAAGGAAGACACAGAAAATCAAAACACACAGATAAATTAAAGCAACACATGCTGTCACATTGCTGAAAACTTGTCAAAGAAAGACAGATGAGAAAATTACATTCTTTTTCTTTCAATCATCCTTGATTTGAGGGTTGCTGGCATCAAAAACCTTTGTTAATTTGTCTGTTTTCACAAGAGAAGCAGCAAAGAGTGAGCATTTGAATTCCTTCTGTCCCATATTGGGTTTGGAAATGCTTCTGTTTACTGCTGGTCCTGCCAAGTCTCAGGAAGTGTCCATTCTGATTTGGAATCAGCTTTCATCCTCACTAATACAACCGATTCAGGCATCTTCTTGCAGATTAACTAATTCTAACAAGATTCCCTTTTAAAAATCCAAACTGATTTATTTCTACCATGAAACTGATGAGTTCCTATCATATTTCGAGTAATATCTTAGTTGTCCAAAGTGGTACCAATTAAAAATGTTTATAGTTAGGATAAAATTTGAGATTTTTTTAAGGCTAGAATACAGTACAAATTTTGCACAGCCTTCCTTTCCCTTGTATTCTGTGCAAAGAATACAGAACAAGTGAGCAAGGTGTCTGCAGTTTGCAAAGATGATTTGCACAGCAAGAAGGTCCATAGAAAATCAAGGACAGAGGGAAAGAGAAGGCACAGTTTCAGCCCTACAAAAAAGCTGAGCAGTGGCAACAAGAATTTAGAACAGTGCATCTTCCCTAGAACTCAAAGTGTATTTGTGTCCTTGCAGTTTTGAAATGTACAGTCTAGCCTTTGGATTTATGAATGAATATTCT